GTTAGAGTTGTTATGGTGCGGTGCGTGGTTGCTGGTGAGAATATGCTTAAGGTTGGCAGGTTGTCTGTGGGCGAGGAGTAGGGACCCTGCTTTGGAGTAGGGACTTGAAATTTGGCAAGGGGTAGTGATGGTTTTCAGGATGTGCTTTTTGATGTTCCTGTGAAAATCTGCCTCAAAAATTTTGACCAAGTTATAAACCTTCTGGAAAAAAAAAATCTCATTTTGTACATGCTCACTAGAAACTTGTTACAATTTGGCAACTAAATGATCTGGCGATTTCATCCGCCCTGAGCGTGCTCCATCTCTCACAGCTCCTACATGCCAACCAGACTGCTCATGAGCCATTGGCACAGAAAAACTCACAATACTACAGCCCAGGGCTGCAGGGACTGAGGTGAACTTTCCCTGCAATTGCTCCTCCTATCTGTTGGGTGCTACTGGGTACTGCAATTCATAGCAGGGAGACTCTCCTGTGTGCTCAATGCACCTCCTGGCTAGAATGCAGAGAGGGCTCCAGAACGGGAAGAACAAGGACGTGAAAGAGACACAAGGCAGGGAGCCAGGGGCAGGAGCTCGAGGAAAAGCAAGTGGATAAGCCCTTGGCAAGCATGGAGTTAGGAGTGAGTGGAGAGACTGGGAATGAACAGAAGTGGACATAAGACAGGGACGGATAGGAACAATGTGAGGGGTGGGGGCGGGGGAAGCCATAAGGATAGGAGCAGGGATGGGACAAGGGCAAGATTTGGGAGAGAGAAAAAAAATGGGTAGGAGCCAGGGAGCATAGCACCAGCGGAGGGGACAGAAAGAGGCTGGGTGGGGGTAGGAGCAGAAGGGTCTGTAATAAGTAGAGTACACACACTCCCTTCAGAATCTGGACGTGAACCTCTTATTCCCAAGTCTCAACATTCCTTTGGCATAGTGTGAAACCCACTGGCAAAGGGTGTATCTCCATCCCCCTCACTTTTGCATGCTTGACTTGGCAACCTTAGTTTTCTTTTAACATAGTGTTGGGATGTAAATTAAACATTTATATTGCAGTAGCACCTCAAAGCCACAATCTGGTTGGGCCCCATTGTGATAGGCAGTGTACAACACATAATAAATGGCAGTGCCTGGTCCAAAGTCTAAAAATTCTAACTTGAGATGTTCCCATTATAGGCAGATTGTTTTGTAAATATGAATTGTTAATCCATCTGGGGGTGGGGGGTGTGAGTGAGTGAGAGTGTGTGTGTGTTAGAGAGTGAGTGAGTGAGAGAGTTTTAAACACTGGGATTGTCTATACAATGTTGAAAGTACTAATCCCTAGTACTATCTACAATGAAGGCTAATCTTGAAAGAGTTAGTGCTGTAAATGGCAAAATTTTAAAGTAAAATTAATGCCCATAGCTCTGCTTCTGACATCTATACAAATAATGAGTTTTCAAATGGCATATGACACATCCAGATTGGTTCAGTAGGAAAACAGGTTTTTGTTTTTTTGGATAAGGATAACCAGATGGACAAGGATTGTATAAGTATTGGCAAAGGTAATGCTGTTGAAAGGGTGACAAAATGTGTTAAGTTAAAGTTGGATACTCAGCTTTTCATCAACATTAAATTAAAATTGCAATCTGAACATGCCACTCTATTTTGTAAATTCATCTGCCAAAAAGAGAGAGAGAGAGAGAGAGAGAACACGAACAGCAGAGACTAGACTATTTTCCCCTTTTGTGGATATACGGAGTGCATAATGTACAATAAAAAAGAAGTCAACATCAAGAGCCTGATTTTTAGAATTTTAGACATGTAAATGCACATAGAAAGTGAGCTCATTTGCATGCCTGATTTACAAGCATATGGTAATATTTAAGCTTGGAAATGGTGCATGCCTTTCCCCCCCATATACTTTGCCATTATTATCCCCCTCAAAGTAATGATGGGGAATGGAAAAATTTGGCTTCAAGAATGGCTTAAAGCTGAGGATATACAATGCTTTGGTGATCATGGCCGTTCCGTCAAGATTGAGAAGAAGTTGGATATCATTTAGATGAAGCATCTCCATATGTCAAAATCATTCAATGGTATGAATTCAAGTTGAATGAAGAGCTCTGTCTTCTAAACTGACCAGGTCCTATTCTCTCAAACGGTTGCTCAAGGCTCTGTAAGGTGTTACAGTCATCTCCTCCAGATGCCTTCCAATTTCCCTTCAAGAATCATCTTCAACTTTGACGCAATGAAACCAAGATGGAAAAGATCCCCCAGAAGACCTAAAACACTATGGCAGGAGGACATGGTCAGACACCTGTCCTTCAGAGGACTTCCCTCATGTAATGCGCCAGGTTTGGCTCATGACAGAACATCATGGAGGCGCATAACTTGTTCAGTGGCCTTTCCACTGTTCAACCAACAGCATGAAACCTAGCCTTATTTCTGTCTTGGAAGAGAAATAATTTGACCAGAGACAGACTATTAAGATCTGGATTTAGCGGATCTGCAAGCATGTACATGTTTGAACAGCTATGTTAGATGGCAAAAGCAAAGCTCCATCTCCTGACAGATGTGCTACGGTTCTCTGAGAGCCACTGCTCTAAACCTATCCAGGTTACTGTATCCCTTTCAGGAGTCTGATTTGTCCTGTGTACCCCCAAGTTTCACCTCACTTAAAAACTACCTGCTTACAAAAGTATCACAGCACACTATCACTGAAAAATTGCTTACTTTCTCATTTTACCATATTATAAAATGCATTAGAATATAAATATTGTACTCGACTCACCACTGAGGCACTTCAGTGTGGCTACATTGTGCCTCAGTGGTTAGTCGAGTACAATATAATGTGGAATAGCTCTGCTTACATTTCAGTGTAGAGTATATAGAGCAGTATAAACAAGTCATTGGCTGTGTGACATTTTAGTTTGTTCTGACTTCATTAGTGCTTTTTATATAACCTGTTGTAAAACTAGGTAGTTATCTAGATGTGTTGTACCCACAGAAAACCTCTGTACCCCTGGCTGAGAACCACTGCTTTAGAACTCCCAACATGCAGCTCTGTGTTCAAATCCAGTTTCTAGCCAGACTAAAGTTTCTGAAATTGCTCCAAGAACTATATATTGTAACTCTTCATATATATTAAATTTGTGGTCTGTATATTGAGATTTGTCAGTTAAATATACAACCCCATGATTCATATGTCAATCAGCACTATCCTTGGCTTGGAATCTCTGAGACAAATTTATTCTGGTGTAACTATGGATTTCAGTGGAATTACACCAAGAGTAAGTTTCTGCATCTGTGTCTTATACAAATGAGAGACATTTGTGACATTAAAGGACCCCCACACAGAATTCTTCCTTTTGATACAATTGTATTAATCAGAGAAAATATGATAACAATTGTCAAAATCCCCCCCTTATTGCTGTATCTGCAGCCTCCAAAAAGTATGCTGGATGCTTTACAGAACACAAACAGGTGCCCTGCCTTGAAGAGCTTACAATCTAATTTTAGACATGTCAAGATGAGTAAAAGTAAGAACACTCTGAAGGAAAGGAAAGACAAGGATTATAGCCAATAAGATCACAGTTACTTAGTTTATGCATGTCCACATCTTGATGTCTTCATCATTACAATTATTGTTGATGCCCTTCGGTGGAATACTTCTGAAATGCCTATTTCAACCCCACTCAGCATAATCTGTAGTGGTTAACCCCTTCTGTAAGGGCTCACCTTTCCCTTTCAAATAGCACTTCAGCATTAAATCTGATGTTTATGTATTAGCCACTTTTAACACAACAGACCCACTCTATTTAAACAGGCAATATTTGTAGTGGACTGCATATCTGTAAGGACTCAACAAGGTATCTTGTTCAACTTGACTATAGGAAACAAAGCAGCATTTAGGAAAATCAATAGAAAGGTACTGTATTTGAAATATTTCAGAGTAGGTCAATATTTCCCTGACTAGTGGGAGATTTCAGTCAGGAGACCTTGGCACTGAAGTAGTTTTTGGAGGCTTCTTCCGAAGAGTAAAAAAACAGGATTTGCTTAGCCTGCACTGCCTCTGAGTAATCAAAAGCCCAGCTGGAACCCATAAGCAGCTATCAGCTTTGTGCTTGTGATGTCACTGTGGCACTGGGAACATTTTTCACATACTAGGACAGCTTGGATGCAGTCTGCTAGCCTAGGGAGCTTATTAACCAGTCAAACTACAGACAGTGAAGCCTTCCATTTTGCAAAGTAAACTTTTCATTTTGCTAGGGTGATTATGTATTGAATATGCCTTTCAAATGCAGTGGATGCATGCGGGTTTGGATTTTTTAAAAATATCACTAATGCCAGCCAACACCAGATAAACCCGAGAGTGTCAGAGCAGATTATATCTAAGTGTGGAATCATACACCATCCATGGTGGTTTTTTCTTCCCTCCCCTCCCCGAGATTATTTCTAGGGAACATATTTCTTAGTTGTAAATATTACTAACTGTAATGTCAAGAATTCTGTGTAACACACTTAGTATGTAAGCAGCATTTTAACCAAAGGAACTACACTATTTTATTTCAGTATTGGCAGCTCTTAGGAATAACGTGATTTTGAATACTAGTGAAGGCAGTCTTACAATGATGTAAAAAGAGAGAAGAACCAGCCATATCATACTATAGTTGTAGCCTAATGGAAGATACACTGAAGTACAAACCCAGAGACCAAGGTTTCATATTATACTTTGGGGTGTGGTTGTAACAGGATCTCTACTCACCACTGAGGCACTTCCTTGTGGCTACCTCTGGGAAATAGCTCCACCCAATCTGACACCCTTTCTGTCCAGGAGTTGCAATGCTTCCTCTCAGTCACTCGGGGTGCTCCTTCTTCATGGCTCAGCTCTCCGACAAAGGTCTGCATCATCCTTGCTGCCATATCCCTATTCCACCTTCATCAGGCCTCCATCCACCCATCTTCTGGGTAAACCTTTCCTTCAGGGCCAGGATCCCACGGCTTCTACTCTTACCCTGGGTTTCTGCCTCTGAGTTTCATACCTCCAGAGAAGAATTGCAGGCTTCCACACTGAAGCCTTCTTCTGCCTCACTTCCTGGCCTTATACCAGCCCTGCTGCTCCTCTCAGCTGGGCTCCATGCTCAATCAGTGCTTGCCTATCAAGCCTAACTCTCCCCCAGGTATGGCCTACCAGGTTACTTAACCCCATCTAAGCCACATTAACCCTTTTTGACAGGATGTCACTGTCACTCATCAGTATCACAGATAATTAAGAACTTGCATCCAGTCACTTCAGATAGAGCTCTAGGTACTATTTCAAACTCTAATATACAAGAGCCAAGTATCATCCACATTGCTAAAGGCTTTTAAAAGAAATATGCTAGATTAGGTGCCTCTGTAATCCACATTTATAAAGTGTCACCTCTACAGCTAGAGCACATATAGAAGCTTATGACCCTGATGGGACTTCCATGCTAAGAGAACTGCTTCTTTAGCTCAAGTGGGAAAGATTCATAATTTACATCCACATGTCCCAGGCAGAAGGCCCAAACGTGGCTATTGTTCCATTTGGCTGTGTTGCCTGTAATCACTAGACCACAATCTGCTTCCACAGTCATGAAAAAAAAAAACAACAACCAGGCCTGGTGCCCAGCGTTCCACTGCTGTCCCTCTAAGAACTATGTAATGCACTGGCAACACGTGTGTTGGTCTTCACCCATGTGGGCTGATTCACAGAGAGGTTAACAGCATACTTTTCCTTTTCTACCAGCAACTCCTCTAGTTGAAGTGTAAGACTCTATACTGTAGCTCTGAAGGTTGTGGGTTCAAGCTGTGGTGATTACCTGGGAATGAAAAAAATATACATATTTGTGCAAAAGATAGTTTAAGGACCCTGCACATAGTATCAGGATGATTTGCTAATATTTATTTTACTTCTGCATTTTTAATATTTGTATGGTGCTAAGGGGAGCTGTACCTTTAAGAATAAGATGAGGCAGTCTGTGCTTGAGTCAGAGAACAATATTTGGGAGATTTTGCCATTGTGTGCAGACACTAAAAAACCTGCCTGTGTCAGCTTCAAAAAAGACCAAGCTTGATTTAATATATAAACTTATCAAGCCATATTTTCAAAGGTGTACTGTTAGCAGCAGGACAGAATTCCTCAGGGCACTGTGAATGAGCCAAAGAGAGCCTTCTACCTATGGGTCACCAGTCTGAATCCTGCAACCATCAGCAGGGATTAAAAATTGTTGCAGTCTAAGGGACGCGTGATGTCAAACTCATTGAATATAGAGGCTAAGTCCCAGCTCCAGCTCCAACATCACAAACTCCCGGTCGTACTTAGCACTAGATTGTAAGCTTTTTGAGACAGCAATTCTCTTGCTTTTGCTTGCTACAATACCTACCATAATGGGGCATAACCTCAGCTCGGTCCAGTCCTCTACTGAGAGCTTCTACTGTGGGGGCGGCAAACCTCAGACCTTTGCTCATTGGCTGGTTATCAGCTTCTGTAGGTGTTTTTTTCACCTCAAGTCATAAACCTCTGGAACCTCAGTCATCTCTTGATGCTGACTTCTGGTGAGAAATAAGCAGGTAAACTCTTACAGAAGATAAATCCTATTTTTGTGCAAACACCATAGCAGGGAAGAGAAAGCCCAGAATATGTCACTTGCAGAATTGCTTTAAAACCATTTTTTTTCAAAATTTCATTCATCAGCAGTAGCTTTTTAAAAATATTGTTGGCAAGTCATGAGCCAAAAATGAAAAAATATTAGGATGGAAGAAACATATCTGTTTGGCAAATCGGTACCTGGATGTTTAAGCTGTAATGGCCTAGCCAGAGGTTTAATAGACCAGAAGTGTGCTGCTCCAGGGTAAGGATACACATTTTACTTACACCATGCTGCAGCCTGATATATAACGTAAAGCTAGTAAAGGCCAAGGGGAAAGTTTCCACATAAATTACTCCATGAAACTGCAGAAGAGCGTGAATGTTTATAGTGTGCCATCATTCAATCTGACTGGTTTGTTATCCAGCAAGACTCAAGAAAATGGCTGGTACAGTTCTACCAAAACAACATTTGTAGTTTTTCTGCTGTCATAGCTTCTCAAACTTCAGAGAAATTTTTCCCACTTATTCAAAGATGAAGAAGATAGAAAAATATTTCTGTAGCAGCATCCATATGGTAGATGCTTAAGGAAAGTCTCTGCTACAAACTGCACACATTCAGTTACAATTGTGAGTATAAACAGACATAGAAAAGCACAATGCACCTCATAAGAACTGAATATTATTCCTCGCTTTTTGGAGCAGTAAAGGGGGAGAAAAGCAAGTATTTTGGGATGCTAAATACTAGCCCTCAGACTTGCTGTCCTGAATTATTTGTATTACCCCACCATCCATATTTTTAACCAGAGCAACATGCCCAGAAGGATGGTCCAGTGCTAGGACACTTACCTGGGACTTGAGAGTTTAATTCCCTCCCCTGCCAGACTTCTTGTGTGACCTTGAGCAAGTGTAACTGTCTGTAAAATGAGGATCTATTACTTTCCCTATCTCTGTGAGAGTTAATACATTAAAGATTTTGAGGAGCTGAGACACTAAGATAATGGGGGACATGTAAGTTCCCAAGAGGAGGTCTACACTGTAATGTAAACCTAGGCTCAGACTCATCTTGAGACCAAATCCCACTTCTCTCTCTACACAGGACCCAGAGTCCTAGGAGCCTGCGGGGTTGGAGGGTTTGAGCCCCAGTCAAGCCAGGGCCCAAACCCTATTCCTTTGCAATGTAGACACAGCCCCCCACTCCACCACATGACTCAGATCCTAGGAGGCCACCAAAAGTATCCCACAATCCCATGTGCCAACTTCCTTTGTCCTCTCTAGCTCAAGAATCACCAAACCACTCCAGGGAAAGGTAAACGCCCCTTGCTGTAGAGCAGCAGTTCGGCAAGTCAGCATTTAACCCTTCTATTGCTAACTGCCAAGCTGCAAACACTTTTGGAGACCCTTCTGTGTTTGCAGTGGAAGCTGACCAGAAGAAGTCCTTTGCAAAGCATGCTGCTTCATGGTTGCAGGAGCACAACCAGCTTTTGGTTAATCTCTGGTGTGTGGCCAGCAAAACACTGGATTTTAGTAAGAGTACCAGGAATAACTACATATGCCAGCAAACAACAAGGAAACTGACAGCATTGGAAATTTGCTCGACCGGTGACCAGTGTAGGGAGCAGATTAAGTGGCTCAAGACTGAGTACCGAAAGGGACGAGAAGCATACCTTGGGCAACTTGCCAACATCATGCCCATTTTATGAGGAGTTGGACTGGGGGCTGGGTACTGCGCCGAGCACAGAGTCAACAGTGGTGCATGATGATCTTACATTGCCATACCTGTATGTTTGCTGTTCTATAATTATTCAATGGTGCAACAAGCTAGCTGGAAACAGTCAGCTGTGGGGCGGCAAGAAGGTAGCAATGTGTTCCATTTACAAATCTAGTCCATTTCAGCTAAAGGTAGCCCATGTAGTCAATAGGTGACAAAATCATTAGTCCCAAATACAACTGGGATTTGAAATTTTATGCAGAAATGTGCTGGGCAGGGGGCAGGGAGAGAGGATAAAGAGGATGGCAGTGGAGTTGTGTGTATAAGCATCCAATCATAACAGACTAAGCCATGTGAAAGCTAATGCAGCATCTTGTCGATTTCCCTCATGAATTCTGACCCAATCCTGGGGGCTGCTAGCTGCAAACTTTCCCTGTAGCAGGAACATCAGATAGGTAGTCACATTTGAGGAAGGGCGTTGTCACAGGGCACTCCACTCACCCCTAGGGGCCACGTCTAGGGATTAGCTCCATTCAGGTCTGATGCCCCCTTCTACTGCTCATTGCATGCGCTGCCGTTTTTCTCTCACTCCCTGTAACTCAGACTGCCCCTCCCCCGCAATCCCAAGTGGTTCTGCAATTTTTTGGGGAAAAATGCCATTTTGATTTTTAACTGACCATTGTCTCTGCAATTAAACTGGCAGTGCTCAGGGAACTTCTGTGGTCTGAAACAGCTTTCTCACAACATACCAAAGTTCAGTCTGGAAAAGTAACATGTTATACCCTTGGAATTTCACAAGGATTTTTTTCTGTGCTCCTGCACTGAGCCGTTTGAGACAATAACCCACTGTGTCTTGTCCTACTCCAAAGCCCCTCAACCTCTACTGGCTGCGGTACCTCTCTGCCGCTTAGCCATACAGCAGCAGAAGCCTGCATCAGCAGACCTTTACGGTCCATTCCAAGAGGAAGAGTTTTCATGATGAACTTATGGTTGAAATTCTGAAAAGGCACAACAAGCAGGTCCACTTCAAAAAACAGAGGGACTTACAACTAGAGGAAAGTCATGGCGAGAGGCAAGAGGAAAGGCTCATACTGGCTGCACAGCTTGAGTACAGGGTTTCAGCATGAGAGCAGGCTCTTGCTTCGCAGCTCCTGGAACAAGAATGGCAGCTAAGGGAGGATGACAGAGCATTGCGAACAGCTGACATCTCTAATGGCTGCCAGAGTATCAGCTCCTGCTGCATAACCCACACCATGGCCTGAGTCCCCTCCATGGTACCCTGTGATGCAGTCCAGAAACAGCTTGGACAAATCCATGGCTAGGTGACCCATGCAATCAGGCCCTATGAATAGCAGGGCAGGGCAGGGCAACTGTGCCCCATGTAGTCTTCCATACTGAGCTCCTTCCCCTGGCACTAAGTGCACTGCAAACAGGGAAGGAAGGGAAAGACGAATGAGGGGCCTGGGGACATTCAACCATAGGGGGTTTTGTCTTGTACATAGTTTCACTGTTTGCACTTGTTGGTTTGTGCTGTATGGTTTGTTTTGAGTCTTTTTAAGGGTGTTGTTGTTGTTACAGGTATTTTGGTGGGGTAATGGCAGCTGGCCTGCCTGGCAATGGATGAATGACGTGTTTTTCTAATCTATATTTATAAATAAAGCTTTTTATGTTATCAAGAAAATGTATTGCTATCACTGCATCACATCATACAATGTGTATTTAAAATAATAAAGGTAAACACGATCAGGGACTATTCCTCAGTACAGTTAGTTACATCAATCCCTATATCAATCACTTCCTGGCATCATTCCTTACTATGAATCCATGTCCCCCTCCATTGGATAAGCAGTCAGGTCATTCATAAGCACATTGCATGGCAATCAACCTCCCCCCAACCTCTCCCTAAGCAATGAAATCCCACCACAATCAATCAGCTCCTTCCCCCCCGCCACAAGCACATGCATAAAGGTACTATTCTCCCTCTTCCACTGGGCCATGTAAATCCAAAATGTGGGAGCACAAAGCATCCCTGACTTCTGTTGTCTTGGTGCATGCAGCTCCAGCTGTGGTAGGTGCACTTCCAGGCAGAGTGTACTGATTCAGTGGCCCCTTGCTGTCATAGGCCCATTCAGGGGGAAAATGGCTCACCTCTGGCTTCAAAAAGACTGTGAAGAGCACAGCAAGTCACAATAATGCACACAGCATTGATGACACTGGAATCGGTCTAAATATCTTTAGTGGGATTTCAGTCTGACAAAAGTACATTCAACAGCCATTCTACACCTGCTGAGAGTGTAATTGAACCTCCTCTTGCTAGGCCTCTGAAATCAGGGCATGGTTTCATAAGCCAAGGTAAAAGGAGGTACATCCAGGGTCCCCCAGAATAACAGTGGGGACAGTAACTCCATTTATTACAATGTCATTTGGTGGGAATAGTGTCACAGCTTGTCCATGAGTGTAGATTTCCCATAGGTGAAAAACCCTGGCATCACAAACTTTTCCAATACAACCCATGTTGACATTCACAAATCAACCTCTGTGGTCCACAAGAGCCTGGAGGAGTACTACTCTTTGTGATTTATGTACTCATGTGCTCCTTGAGGAGGGCAAACTAGGGGCACATGAGTCCCACCAATCGCCCCTGTGCAGTTTGGAAACCCCATCCTCTGAAACCCAGCTATTACTTCAGGAATCTCTTTAATGCCCATCTCCTTGGGGATAAAAAACACACCTGATTACCTAGTTGACTTGCCAACACCAAAGTGGTTGGCAAAGGACCTGTAGAAGTCTGGGGTAGTCAGCTTCCAGACAGTTATAGCAACTCGCTTTTGGACCTGCATGGCTGCCCTCATGTGGGTGTCTTTATCCTGGAAGGTTAGGGCAAACTGCTCACAAATGTATCTTCCTTCATGCAAAAGCCTTTCGACCCATTTATGGCCACCCCAGGTCTGTATGACAATGTGGTCCCACCAGTCTGTGCTTGTGGCCCTGCTCCAGAAGCTCCGGTCTGCATAGGGGACATCAGCAGTGATACAGAGTATCATAAACAGCTTCAGTTTGAATTTGCAATGTTTGTGTCTTCCTCCTCCTGCACCCTCAGAAGCTCTGTCAGGTGCCTCCAGTGGGTCAGAAAATGTACCCAAGCATATCTGCCTGTTTCCTGAACCAGGAGTGGAAAATGCAAGGGAGAGTTCTTCAAAAGGCACCTCACCTCATCCACACTGCTGGCCCTGGTAGCTGGGAAAATGTGGACCA